TATGGTTTTTGAGACAAGTCAAGTTCCAAAACAGACTAGTTTCAGGAAATTCAGGTTCCTTGGTTGGTTTTTGGCTCTGGCTTTGGGATATATGTTGGTTTCAGCGACATTTTCTCCACAAACCGGACTTCTTACAGGATCGCCTTTCTACGAGTTCCATATGCCAAGAGAAATCACAGAGTTTGCAAAAGCTAACAACTTGGAGAAGTTGAGTGAAAAGCTGTGGACTTTGACAGAATCATCACTTGTGTACATGGATAAGCTGATCTCGCGTCTTGGAGGAAGAGAAGAGGAATATGGTCCATTTCAATTTCATAACTTGACATATACTGTGGAAGATAATACTGTTTTCCAGCCAACAAGCATTGTGATCAGTGTAGTAGAGTTGGACCATCAGGAACCTGAAGAACTATTACAAGAGAAAAGCCGAGGTGAAAACAATCTTGAGGATGAATATGTCAATGAATTTGAGGAGGAGAGTGGAGGAGAGGAAAACTCAGAAGTGGTTTGTGAAACAAACGCAGAAAATAATAATGAATTTGATGATCAGACTGAGCTGAAGGCGGTCACAGATATAGAGCTGAATGAAGGTGAAGAAAACTCTGAAGCTCTTTTGGAAGCTAGCATAGAGCGAAACACTGAAGAACAGAGAGAGTCTGAGTTGAATCCTGAAGAAAACGATGATGCAGGAGGTCGTGAATCTCAGGAAATGCTTGAAACTGTTTCAACAAAAAAGTTGGAAGATTTTGAATCGGAAGCTATTATCTACATAGACCAGCACAATGTTGAATCCGATGCTTCCATCAATGTGGAACTGCAAAAAGAGAATGAGGTACCTGATGCTGAACTGGAATCTATCTACATATACCAGCATGATGTTGAATCCGATGCTGCCATCAATGTGGTGGACCTGCAAAAAGAAAATGAGGTAGCTGATACTGAAAGTGGATCAGAAACTAGTGATGATCTTCATCCTAGCAAGAATGATAATGATTTGGCCAAGGCAATGATAGTTTTGTCCTCAACTGTGCTGGTTCTACTCGCAGCAGTTGCTTTCTTATTCGCTAAGAAGGCAAAACCTGTTGCTGCATCTGCTCCTGGACCAGCCCCTGAGACCAACAAGGAGCCAAACTTGGTAAGTCATGTGCCAGTAGAGAATCTGATGAAAGAAAAGCTTTCTTCAATGAGTTTCCAGGAAGAAGAAGTTGATGACAGACTAAGTAACAGTTTCCATAAGAAGAGCTCATCATCCCAAAGCAAAACCGGAGGAGGCAAGAATAGGAGAGAATCCATGGCTTCCTCAGCATCAGAATACTCCGTAGGTTCCTTTTCGTATGGAAGTTTCACAACTTACGAGAAAATACCAATCAAAAGTGTAAGTAAAATCAATTAACCAATCAACCAATACATTACTAGAGCTTTGCATTGTATTAACTAACACCAACTCATGTTTATATCTGCAGGGTGCTAGAGAAGCAGAGATTAATACACCAGTGAGACGTTCAAGCCGTCTTAGGAACAACAACCAACCTTCTGAGCTATGAGAAACAGAGACTTTTCAATTTTCATTGGACTCATTGCACCACTCTGCAATCGTTAGTTTCCCATGAATTAGAACAACAATAGCTTTTGACTTGTAATCTCTTGATTTTGTATTCAATTGAGACTTAAATTGTGACTTTTCTTTGTGTTAATCTCCTTCATGATCAAAGCAATCGTTGAATGTGTAAGAACAAAAGCATCGACATTTATTTTGAGTTCTTTTTTTTTACATATGAAAACCAAATAAACAACGATCAAATTCAGAGCCAAAAGTGACAAAAACAGAGACACAAGACTTGGTTCCTCCAGCCCCGAAAGGTTGATGGAGAGGAGGTTACCCCTCCCAGATTCACAACCACTCGGTCGTGCTTAGATTTTTCAGGGGTCTTCGCCACCCCTACCAACGCTAACACATATCCTGCGTTCAACCCGCGCGCGAGCTCATCGACCATAACCATGGACATCCCTAGACCGAACTCGCGCAACGACTCTACCAGGATTAACGAACAGCCCCTCTCACCTTTGCCTCTCTTGGAGAATGTTCAGAACATCCTGACCGAGGAAGTAGGGGCTACACATTAGACGGGAATGCCTGCGGCCCACCAAGACGCCACGGAAACAATCGACAATGATATGTTCCGACGGTACGCCGAACAAACTCAGGCAGAGTTACGCTTCATGAGATCATGTGTTCAGCGGGCAATAAGTTCA